GGTGCACAGGGGGGGAGGGGGGGGGGTACCATGAGCTTAGTGTTGGAAAGGTTGAGTTGTAAGAAGCGTCGTCACATCCAGACTGATGTCAGTTAGTAGATTAGTGACACGAGAGGACACCAAACCCTCCAGAGAACTCAGGGATTCCGTCCTACAAAGCCAACGTGACGGAAGGAGTAGGCTGCATGAGAAACATCAAGACAAGGATAGGCAGGAACGAAGAGACCTAGACCCAGATTGCTGAGACCGTCCCCATAGAGGGATGGGGGTTGTAGATGATGGAAAGGTGCCACAGGAATAGTCCAGAAGGATCCCGCTGAAGAACCGCCCTGCCTAACCTCAGCCTATAACCCCAAGAAGGACCCTTTCCCCTAGATCCAGTGACGCCTCAGCTGCCGTTCAACAAGGACATTAGCAGAACCACCGAGAGCGTTTGCCTCTCAGAAACAAGGAAAGGAATCCAAAAACCTTCCTAAAAAAAAGCTTCGGCTCCACCAAGGAAGGAAGGCCGGCCCCTCCAGGTGGACATGTCCCACAAGGGCGTCCAGACATACTCTGTCCATGACAGGAGATACCTGCATGAGGAAACTATTGTCTTCAATCAGCTGACAACGCAATGACGCACAGGGCCCTGCAGATAGGACAGACAATCTGAGGCACACCTAGATACGTGACCTTCTCCTCTCCTCTCAGACGATATTGGCCGAGAAGAACCGGTTCTCCGAGGTACGATCCCTACGGGGAACAAAGCGAGTGAAGCCGAGACTCCCATGCAGCACACCATCCAGACCAGCTACCATTCTGCCGGGAGGTCTCCCATGGCTCCTTGGTGGTGAAGGCCTGACAACACCTAGATCAGTGGTTCTCAACCCGTGTAACCTCGGGACCCACAATCAGTGTCCCCTGTCCTGCCACAGTGCACATCTCCCTGCCTGCCTACCTTTCTCTGATTCCAGCCGACTGAACTATCTGGACTGGAGAGTACAGTAGATACAGCGGCGGATTGATATCTGCTGTACTCCCCAGTGCAGGCCGGAACTATAACTTAATCGTCGGGCGCCGCGGCTCCTGATATTAATGCGCCGGCCCGAAAATGAGGAAATAGTCCCCTCTCTCCCAGGGCCATACCACTTTATCGGAGAGCCCGGGGGAGGCCGGGAGAGAGGGGACAGTTTGACATTATGAGGTTCCACAGGCTGAACCACAAATTCCCCCCTCTAGTTCTCTCTAATGCAGATGGGCCGGTCTATGCAGACATGGCGCCGCGACCCACTGCAGAGGGTGTCGCGACCCACGAGTTGAGAACCGATGATCTAGATAGAGTCCAAGGAGAGATGCCCTGATGTGGAAGGAACTACCTGTCCTGAAAAGCCCGGGGACGGAGGAGACCCAATGAGGGACAGCCCCCAGACACAGGAAATAACTCTGCTTCTAGAGGGAGCTCAAGGGTCACACCAAGGACCACCTCGTCCATAGCGGCGGACCAGAAGAACCGCTCAGAAAGCAGACAGGTAACACCAGGTGAGGAGCTGAAAGAGGTCGTGAAAAAGCAGAAGATGTGAAGAGGACCTTATGAGAAGATCCCCCAACAGAGGAGAGAGGAAGGGAGAACGCTGAATGGCAGAAAGCACGCAAGCCCCAAACTTCTCCCACCTGAGGGCAGAAGTCTTCCGTCCCTCAACGTCTACCCTCATAGCAGTAAAACCAGGCGGTGCGAATAATGAGGCCGCTCCCGTTTCCACACTCGGCCAATCGTAGTCAATGGGGAGCAGAGGCAGGGCAAGCTCGGGAGGCAACACCGCAGCTCTGGTCCTGGAAAGGACTCGGCACTCGTACTAGCACACCGAGGCCTGCCAAGCACCAGAACGTGGAATCTTGGTCACCAGAGCTGAAGACACGTCCGTCCTCCCTGGACACCGAGGGGGGGGGAAAGGGAAGTCACGCTGGGTAGGGGAGGCCTACAAACCTCCCGCTTCTCCTTTAAGTGGCATTATAACTCAGCTGTATGTGAACTCCTGTGTCCCTCAATGGGCGAGAAAAAAACAAAAAACTTACCCACGAGGGCCTTCGGGACGTCCATGGAGGCCTCCGAGAACTCCAGATACCCCCGAGCCTTCTGTACAGCTTCCTCCGACTGCAGGCGGGGACAAAACACTCATGTC